TGCAATTTCAGGGTATGAGCCCCATTTGGGTAGTGGAGACTCTGATTAACTGCATTGATCTGAAATAGATTTGTGATCATGACTGTCGAAAGAGCCTCATTCCGCCATGTGGTGTCTTCTAGGATGCCGCCAGGAGGAAGGAAAGGGAAGGAGGTAGGAGAATGGTGCAGTGCAACCGTGATGGGGGTGCTTGGCACTGCATGGCAACTCATCATGGTCATCTACCATGGTGGGCGGCCATTACATACGAATCTGCCAATGTCTGTGTTGCTTACAGGAAAAGCTAAGAAACAGAGGTAGCTGCTCCAAATAGCCCTTCAGTTCCATTCAGTTTGGAAAAGTGGTGTTTGCCATTTTATGTAGAATCTGCTTTCAGAGTATTCTAGCTTTGTTCTTCGGAGTTCAAATGTCTATATAAGCCACATTTTAGAAGCTATTCCTTGCAGAGAAAGGATGGCAGATTGATAGCTCACTTTGCCTTTGTTGCTTTGCCCTAGAGATACAAAGAGGAAACTAAATATTCTGTGAATGTTCAGCTGAAATAATGATTCTAATTAGCAATTGACAATTATTTCTTCTTTGGTTTATAATGACACCTGCCTAGTTGCCCTATAGTTTTGGCATTTCATGCAGCCCACAAAGTATCTTCTTCACATCACAAAAAAGCACTGGGATTTTTTATTATTTGTGTTAGCCATTCTGTGATTTCTCTGACACTGTTTCTTTATGTTTGTGATAGACCAGTCATTTGAGAAAATTGCAGAATGAGCTAAGAATAACTCTGTAGCACAACAGTTAACAAATGTCACAGTATTAACCTGTGATACTTGCATCAAAATGAAGCAGAGATTCACCAAAGTTTAAATAGTAGGATCTTTTGGAAGTGTTATAAGATTTAACTAATTGGAATGGTTTTCAAGGGTTAGGACTAAGATGAGAACTTTTAACTGTACTTCTTGTTTTAATGAGTTTTATGCTTTAAAATAGGTACCTAATCTGATCCTTCAAAATAAAGCTGGCTATAAATCTAAAATATTCACAGCAGTCCTGTAGAGTAAGGCTTTGTTTTTGTTTTTGAATTCCAATTTTACAGAGAGGGTAAGTTGGGGAGATAAGGATTTTACTTATGGCCACTAATGGATTTATAGTGTAACATACATTTACTTTGAGGCTCATGCTGAATTTCCAGTCACAAGAACAAAACTGAGAGTCGTAATAGAGTCTCACAATACTTTGATACTGCACATTCTTAAAGTCCTTCTCCAAAGGTGTGCTCCAAAGCAAGCTTTCCCATGTAACTTATGTTTACCTGCCGTCTTAACATGTAGTCTCCCTGTGGGAGAGAAATGTCTATGGCACAACATCAGCTCCAAGTCATCTCAGTACTGGGGGATCTGATGGATGATCTTAGCATTTCTTGTTTCTGTAAGTATCCCTCTAACGCATATACTTGGAAATGCATAATTATACATACCATTTCAGCCCTGTGGTTTTATCTAGCTCAAATCTGTTCCAGGGGTAAACAAATGAGCACTACATTTGCTTGATGTTTATTGCACATCTTACAGTCTCTTCATTGTCTCAAAAATGTTTTTTTTTGCACTTTCCACTCTTTGCAGGCAGGTTGTTTTGCGGTTGTCATTCACATTTATTCTCAGATTCAGTTGAACCCTGAAGTAAATGAGCCTCACTCACACGCAAGGAGCTATGCTTACCCAAGGGTCTTGGGCCTTCCTGAGTGACAAAAAAGATCTCTTAATTCAGGTGTGTAATTTAAGTAATAAATATTTTTGTAACTAATAACTCAACCTGCCTCAGCATCAGAAACTAAGTGGTTGATGGTGAATCGCTGATGTTCTTAGATGTGTCTCAGGGGGATATTTTCTAGCTGCTGTTATTGGCATAATTCTTATGCTGGTGCAACCCCTGTAGTTCAAGCCACTGGAAGGTCCATCTGTGGATTAGAAAGGGAGAACACATACTAGTTTGTAGGAACTATGGGGTGGTGCAACATCTTGAACATAGTCGCTGCTACCAGCTGAGATAACCTCATACAAGTATCCTGTCTGATCTATTATGGCTACAGCATCAAGCAGCTAAAAGCCCTGCTGGCCAAGGGGCATGCAGGCAACTGAGCCATGGATGGACATTGATATCCAATGCACAGAACAAAGCAACGATGGAAGTATATTCTGACAACCCTTTTCTGTGAACACTGACACAGTTTTTACTTTTCAGTATGTCCGTATGACCTAGCTCTGTTTGTCTGTCTCTCTATATGTACAAACAGTATATCACAATGTTGCCTTTTTGTTCAAAATATCAAACTACAAAGATTGTAAACCAAATCGGTGTAATAAAAGTTCCAGATGGTTCACAATGTCCAATGTGTGTATGTCTGACTTTCTACGTAGGGGTTATAGAAATATACATCAAAAGAGGAATAAATATGCTTTAGAAACACATTCCCACGTTGTTGTCACACATATTTAAGCCTCTGCAAGGCTGAGCTTGGGGAAGTCCTTCAGTGTCGGTAAACTGTGCATGGAACTGATTAGTTAAAGCTTGTGACATGCAAGCATTCCTTCTTCCCTATAACACATTTATGCTATGTAAATATATCTTCTTTTTTCAACATTGAACAGTTTAAAAATTTTTGAGGAAAAAAAGGAAGATGGTTCCCTGAATTTTGGGAGGAGTGGTTGGGGCAAGACTGATGATGGAATCCATAGCAAAAAAACCTGCTGGTAAATATAGTTGCCCAATATACTGTGAAGGCCAAAGGAAACCATATTCACATCATGAGAGAAAAAACACAGTAAGTTCTCTTTGCAGTTAAATCTGTGAGCATCTTAATTTTTGATTAGATTTGGATTGGAAGAACAAAGCAAGTGTTAAACAGCTTGTTCATACTAAGCTTTATGGTTTCTAAGGGTGGTCAGTTGATGGATCTGATACAAATGATGTATTATAGAGCTTGGTGGTTGTTTCTCATTTTTTGCCACCCCATTTATCCAGGTGGTTGATAAACTGTAAACCTGAGCATTTTTCTATAATTATACAATATGGTTTTTATGTTGGCAGGCTCTTGATGGGTAAGATTATGCAGGACATTACTGTATCAGCAGTTTTGTACATCTGACACTTAAAATATATTATTCAATATTTAAAATAATGTAAGGTGCTTGGAACCTGTAAAATAAACCAGGAGATAAATCTAAATCTGCTCATGATAAGCTGGACAGATGTGCAATAAAATGTGTGTTCTTTTGAGCTGCCTAGCAGGGATCCTTTTATATGGGCTTCAGTGAGAAAATGCTGTAACATTTCATCACTAGTGGATATCAGAATGAGATTTTGCTTATAATAAATACCAAAGATCAACAATGACACAGTTGCATATACAAAGAATGATGACACTATGATTATTATTAATGAAGTTTTTTATGGCAAAGAGGTTTAAAGGTAAGTGTTGTGAAGCTAAGCCTTCAGTCTAAGACATACTTATCAAGTGGTAAGTTCCATTGGACACAGTAGGACTTACTTCCAAGTAAATTTGAATAGGACTGAATTGGCATGTTTTTACATGTTAGTGATCAGTATGAATTCATTTTGAGTTTATAAAGATCAACTCTGCCATGCAGAACAGATCTTAAGACAAAGAAAAGACAAGGCTGAGTAGCAAAGGAAAGTCATGGTATTTGGAATTAGGGACAAGCCTCTTCCAAGAATTAGGATTGGAAGACCAGTAGACATGCTAAGAACCTCAAAGTGTATAATAAAGCACCTCAAAGTATTCAATACAGCACCTTCTGGAAAGTTAAATGACTCCATTGCCATGTGTGCCAACCTGTAGCAATATCTAGAGGAAAAAAATCTGATCCTCTGCCTTATTTTCCAGTTTAACCTCTATGTAGTTTTCTCATCACTACAGAGAGAAGCTTGAAAAAGCTGGAGACTTTGGATGACAGATCAGGGAAATATTTTTTGATGTTGAAAATTTAGCACATGATGATTGTCCCTTTTCAAGGGCGCTGCCTACATTTCCTGCAACAATCTTCACTTGACCATATCACCAAGGCTCTCCTCACAGGGTAAGAAAAGAGAAAACCACAAGATGCAGACCTGGATCTTGGATATTTAAATTCAAATGTCATAGCAGATTATGTTACTAGATTCACAGTAACCCATATATCATAAATACAGTCCACTAACAAAGGTAAGAGCACCTTTCCAGTAACAAGTTTTAGATGAGTTGTGTATTTGCTTAGAATGATGTGTAAACATGTGAAAACTATATTTCAATGAACTGAACAGACAGTACAAATATTCTGCCCCTCCTACATATAACAAAGCCCCAGATGAACATGACTGTTTTGTGATGTACCTATCACACATACACTTGCCCACAACTTGAGGAGTTGAAAAATAGGACTGATGGCATCATGTGTAGAATACATCTCACTGCTCAAGTGTTACAAATGGGAAGGCAGAAATTGTTACTGCAGGCTAGTAGTATAGGTATGCAGTGAGGTCCAAACTAAATATCTGGTTGTATGCTGGGAGGCTGCAGTATTTAGGCCTGCAGTAAGTCTCAAGGCTGCTGCCAGAATTTGGTACCATCAGCTGCAGGGTTGAACGAACAGCTCCCTGCAGTTCCGTTGTTGGTGGTAGTAATGAATGAAAAGGCTTGGCAGAACAAAGTGTCACTAACCACAAAGTCAGCAGCACTCAACCTAGGTTGTCCCCGTTTAAGAATGTTGTATCTTGATAGAGTTTATTATCTTAAGTCTCCTCCTTATTTAACAGCCTTGTGCATTTAGTTACCATGCTGTTCAATAATATTATGTTTTCAGTTCCAGAATAACAGACGGAGCTATCTAAAATGAATTTTAAACACTTTTATTTATAGATCACCATCAGTGTGTTTTAAAGGGTATTTTCACAAACGAAAGTTCAAAATGGAGGGAAGGACAAGAAATGGAGGCGGAATTATCAGAAAAGTGTGCAGTTATTTCAATTACACATGCTTTGGCTTGCTTACAAGCAAAGTGCAGTAGGGAATGGGAACCACAGTGTTTTAAGGCTTCACCAAAAAGTTGAGTGGAATTGCATCTGAACCCAGCTGAGCCCAAGCCAAGTTGAGAAAGGACTATAATTTCTGACCAGAATGGTCAACTAAAAATGGATGTTTAATCAGTCATGGATGGAAGTAATGTCAAAAACATCAAAAACTTTACAGTAGGTCAGGAAATTTTTTCTTCCTGAGTATGTGGGCAATGTGTGGAAGCTGAATGTTGCAGGCTTTTGATACGAGCTAGTTCCTGGTTAGTCTTGATGGCCTGGTTAATGAGGTATTCACTCTCCTGTCCCACTTCTGCCAGCCTCAGGTCAAATTCCACCACAGTCTTGTTATCAGTCATGCCTTCCAGCAGCTGCTTCCCTCCATCCTGCAATGAAGAGACTTGGTTGAAGGTCAGGTAAGCCATACACTCAGGTCTGAATCACATTTTCACATGGTCCTTTGATTAGCTTTCTGCAGGAAGACTGCAAAAAGGGTCAAGTATGCTTGCTGTTGTCAGAGGGTTTCATAGAAATAAAAATAGCATGTAATCTTGTACAAAAAATAATGATACCAATCTGGAATGATAAGGGGCAAACTATATGTTACATGCAAATAGGTAAAATATAGACTGAAAGCCCATCATTTTTCCATGAAAACCATGATGAAAAGGCAGTGGAAAGAACTCTTTATCTTTGCCCAACCCACATCCACTTGCTTCCCCCAAGTGGTTGTTTCCTGTCCCTGTGTTTCAAATGCATGTTGATTTCTGTTGCAGTAGCTAACAGGCATCTTATCTTCCACAGCAGGATTTTCTACTATCCAGGTGCACTACGCTATTCATGCTCAAACACTCCATTAGAGAGCAGACATATCTACCACCCTGAAAACATTATGTCTGTCTTCATGCATACTGAAATGGTAGCCTTAACAACACTGCAAACATCAGCTGCTCTCTAGAACCTGTGCAGTCAGGGAGGGACAGACCTAAGCCTTTCCCATACACCCTCTCACTTAGAGGACCACAAATGCAATCCCATTTCATCCAACACTCTCTGAATTTTGATGGTTCTCATTAGTATGAGTATGAAGGCAGTGATGAAATCCTGCCTAGAAGCTTGCTCTCAGTCCTGTTGTGCTGAGCAAGTAAGTCTGAAGCCAAGCACATCTCCATTACATTCTCTTTTCAGGTTCCAAGCTCAGAAGAAGCAGAGCAGAGAGTGTCCACAGACCATTTTATCCTGAAGTTTGGTAGAGTTCCTCAGAGGGATGCTCATCATGACAAGCACATTTCTGTACCTCTAAGGTCGCAGATTCATCAATCTAAAACCTAATGACAAGTTCTCAGTAGATAGATGTATCATTCTCTCAGTTATGAAGATGTCATTATGACAGTGACATCTTCCTACCTCCTCATTACAATGTCAGGAGAAAATAAGTATTTGCTTAGGAATCACTAAATGGATGTGATCAGCAATTCAGCAAGAGTTTGGCATGCAAGGGAAAATACAAGAACCCATTAACTCTCAACCCTTGATGCCTCTATAGTGTCCTAGTGGAGATGATAATAACATGACAAGAATTAAAAAGTAGCATCATGATGCTTGTGGCACATGACAGGTTTTTAAAATATGCTCTCCCTCCCCCCTCCCCCCACTCTCTCTCTATATATAATTCAATTTCTATACCTCCCCATAACCTGAAGTTTCTCTGGGTGGCTCACAAATGCTAAAACTAAGTAAAAATATACATACAATACAGTAAAACAATTGATAATCTAATAAAATAGGTAAAACAATAATAAATAACAGCAGATAATACATCCACATACACCAATAAGCACAACCAATAAATTAACCAATATAAATCAAAATAATCCATAACAAGATATGAAATAAAATAAATTAACCAAAAACTTGTTTGACTAAAAAAGGTTTCACCTGGCACCTAAAAGAAAGAAAAGTAGGTGCCAGCCATATATCACTGGGAAGTGAATTCTACAGCCTAGGTGCTACTGCTGAGAATTTCTTCCTCCTAGCCCTTTCCCCTTTGATCTCACTAGAGGAGAGCACTTGAAGAAGGACTTCTGAAGATCTAAGTGACTGGGCAGGTATAGATGGAGAAAGGTGCTGCCTCAGGTACCCTGGTCCCAAGCCATTTAGGGCTTTATATATCAAGGAGAACACTTTGAATGGCCCTGGACTGGAACAGGGAGCTGATGCAGCTGAGGGAGGACCAGTGTAATATGATCTCACCAGCCAGTCCTCGTAAGCAGTTACACTGCCCTGTTCTGCATGAGTTGTAATGTCTGGACCATTTTGAAAGGAAACCCCATGTAGAGCATGGTGCAGCAATCCAGAGGCGAGAGGTTACTCGCGCATGGGTCACCGTGGCAAGGCTCCGCTCTTCCAAGTAGGAATGTAGCTGAGAAATCAGCAGAAACTGACAGAAGGTGCTCCTGGCCACTGAGTCCCCCTGGGAAAACAGGGACAGGTTGGGGTCCAGGAGCACCCCTAAGTGCCAAACCTCCTCCTTTTGGGGGACTGTAACCCTATTCAGGCTGGGTTGAAAATTACCTAGTTGGAGTGTGGGAGTGCCCACCAACAGGACCTCCATCTTATCTGGATTCAGCTTCAGTTTATTGGCCCTCATCCAGCCCATTACCGAGTTCAGACACCGGTTCAGGATAGCTACCGCGTCACCTGGATCAGATGAGAAAGTGAGATAGAGCCCACACCTCCAGATGACCTCATCCAGCGGTTTCTTGTATATTTTAAAAGCATCTGTATATTGTGTGGCCTGGAACAAGTTACTCACTCTCAGCCTGAAACAAATTAGACCTGCCAGGTGGTCCTGACGATTAGATATTCTGGTTAGGGCTGATGAGAGCCTTCCTTAACTTGGTGCTTTCCATATGTTTTGTACAAAGTCTGTTATTACTAAAGTAATGCATATAAAATGCCCTGAACATTCCAAACTACTGTATATTAAGCTCCCATTTGAAAAAGGGGATTGCTTACCAGCCCTATGTGGTTGCAGGAGAGGTTGATGCGAGTCAGAGCTGTGTTCTGAGCCAGGACCTGCGAGAAGAGGGTGGCTGTTGGCTCTGACAATTCATTCCCACCCAAGTGAAGAGTCGTTAGTGTACTGTTCACCAGCAGGGCATGGCAAATAGCTTGGCCTCCCTCATCCTCAATGCAGTTGAGCCGCAGGTTTAGGAACGTCAGGGTGGAATTCTTAGACAAGGCATGAGCAATAGCCTGGGCTCCCTGAACTCGGATCCTGTTATTACAAAGGTTAAGAGTTATCAACTTGCTGCGGTTGATCAGCTTGCCAACAGCTCGTGCTCCCCGGTCTGCAATCAGATTGTGGGACAAGTTTAGCTCCATCAGTGAGGGATGGTCTAACAGGTGGTAGATCAGCATCCGGGCTTTATCATCATCCACTTTGCTACGGGATAGTGTGAAGACCTGCAGCAAGAACATAAGATAACATGTATCACTCCTTATTGAAAGACAGGGCAGTTCGTTTCCATAAGAGCTTCTTGGGGAAAAGTCACTTACTATAAGTATCAGGAATTATTAATATGCTTCTTCAGAACTGTTCCTTTTGCACCCCTGAGGTGCAGGCCTAGCAGGATATACATGTACTGGTTTTAGCTATTTAGTTGTAAAAATGTAGTTTTGGATATGGTTTTAATGTAATTTTGTGATGTTTAGTTGTTTTAATCTATATTGTATTTTATTGTATTTTTATTGTTCACCACCCAGAGAGCTTTGACTATTGGGTGGTAAAGAAATAAATAAAATAAGATGATATTTGAACCCCCTAGGTTTTTAGGCAGTTCTCTGGTTAGTTTGGTCTCTCAGCTACATTTGAATTTAGAATCAAAGAGTTCTCCTAGGTGTTTAAGTGAACTCAAAGCTTTCTGTAATATCAGCTGGCACCCAGAGGGATGGTGACCCATCAGAGCAAGGTACAACAATTTTCTCAGATACTGTGAACAAATAGTTAGGGACCTTATACTATCCAGGATGGTTTGGAGTTTGTGTGGGTCCTGTCATTTCTCCCATGCTAACTTTTTTGGTTTTTTTGTTTCCAGAGCAGGAGGGCTGTACCATCAATAAGGACTCTGATGTACAGATCATTAACAACCCTCATCTACCTTGGCTTTCTGGTTTGCTGCTGCCCGCACACACGTCTACATTAAGAATAGATATTCTGGGAGAAAACATGTTGAAAAGGAACCCCAGTGCTGCAGCTTTAATGTAAATCACATTAAGGAGCAAACCAGACAAGCCATGGAAGGTACATGATTTGATCTCCCATTACTTGTCTTTTCCATTAAAAGAAACTGTAGAGGCCTCTGGGTTGAATTGGGGCTGTGCTGCAGTGGGAAGAAAGTTAACCCTTTCTCCTACATTATCTTCCTCTTGGATTGCAGTAGGAGTGAGAAATGCAGGTTAGAATAAGAGTACTGTGGTATACAGTTAAACAACGCAACCATGCAACAACCTCAATGTAATTTGGGGCAGGCAGGCTGTGAATCTTCCCTATATCCCATTTGACCTTAATTTGGAAGCAATTTTCACCTGAAATCCAAGGGATTTAAGTGTTCTTTATTCAGTACAGCAGAGACATAGCAGCTTATTTTCTAAGGTTTCCTTTCATTGTACTTCTGTACTTCCCCTTTATGTTGACAGCCAAAAGTACTAATTTAATATAATGGCTCAAGCTGGATATAATTGAGAAATACTGGAGTAAGAAGACAGTTAAACTGGTCTCTGACATTTAGAAACTATCATTCTGTGCTTAGAGTTACAAAGTTTTATAAAATTGTACTGAGAAACATTACTTTTAGAGTTGGACACTTCTTGAGAGCATTGGCCAAGGAACAGCAGTCCCGAGAGGTGAATTCAAAAAGATTCCACTCAAAATTCATGCCACAATCTTTAACACCATAAGACAGGTCCAGCTCTTCTAGGTGACAGAGCAGTGGAGTGAGCATACTCATATCAAAATGGTCCATGGAAGGTTCATCTATTCCAGCATCACTTTCAGTATCAGAGACATCTTCATCTTCCTTTTTCTGATCTAATTTCACTGGTGGAAGGAACTGGTCAATCTGCAGCTTCCTCACGTACTCCTTGCAGAGTGGGATGATATCCAGGACTTGGTTGGGGCTGGTGGTATCTGGAATATAGAACTTCAAGATGTTCTCCAAGTGACGTTCAAAAAACATCCGTTTCCAGCTGTTTCCATAGTGGGACACATCACAAACTGTCCATCTCTCAGTGCAGCACCTTTTCCAGTAGCCTTCATCACTAATTAGATTTGCTGTCACAGCGAGGGGAAGACTTGTGGAGATCTTATCTAGCACCTTTCTCTGGTGCTCAGGAAGGAGCCTATCTAAAACAGGATTCTCTAGTTGGAAAGAAAGGAAGTTCATATTTAAAGGGAGGTACAGAGTCTGTTTGAATATGATACCTGCCTGCTGTTTTTAATCTACAAAGATCATTGCACAAGCATGGATGGTGTTTAAGAAAAGGATCTTGGGAATGGTAGTTTGGTGAGGGTTCTGGAAATTCTGTTAGGGATACCTTTCCCCCCTTACAAAGCTAGGATTTCCCAGGATTTCCTAGGAAGAGGAAATAACTGTTAGATCAGTTTCAGACTGTAGCATAGATACACCTTATGTGATATATCAGCAATGACCATTATTCCAAAATAGGCAAAGGCATTAGCAGCCCCAGTAACAATTTAGTTTGTGGAACAATTTTCAATGATCCATCCTATTGCATTTCATTAAAAACATAATCAGATATCACTCAATCATGTGATCTATTTTTTTATTTAAATTGATTTTTATTTATAAACTTGAGAGTTGCCTTTCTGACCAAATAAGGAGTTCAAGGCAGCTTACAAATAAAATATCAAACAATTTAAAACACACCCCACAGCAAAATTAAGAGCAGGATGGAATCTTTAAAATGGTGCAGAGCTAATACAACTAAAACATCAAGTGGAACCACACAAACATTTTTAGAGATCAGCTAAAACTGAGCAACAAAGCAGCCAGTTCAATTGTTCTTGAAAAATAGTTTCAGAGGCTGCCACAGAGAAGGCTTTCTCCTGTGTATCTATCAATTTAACCTTTCTTGGTGGTAGAAGGGCAAATGAAGGTCTTATACTATGGGCACATTCATATGGGAGAAGATGAACTTTCAGATACCCTAGAAGCATATGGAAGCACTTGGACCTTTCATTTTTTTCTGAGAAAGTTTGGCATCCAGTGCAGTTCATATAAGATCAGTGTAACATGGTCAACAAAATGCATGCCAGAAAGCAGTCTGGGCCTTTTGTTTTGCCCTAGCAACAGTTTTCATGTACAGCACATTGCAATAGTCTACATGGAAGAAGTTTGAGGTAGGTTTCATTGTGGCCATATCTGTTTTCTCCAGCAACTGGCATACCAAAGTTAGGCAAAAACACTCATGGCCACAGAAGCTACCTGACCCTCCAGGAGAAAAGTATCAGTAAAAGCCTTAAACTCAACTTGATCCTTCAGAGGGTGTGCCACTCCACCCATAAGAGACTGTAGCCCCAATCCCAGATTAGCTTTACTACTGACCAACAGTATCTTTATCTCACCTGCATCAAATCTCAACTTGTTAACCTGCATCCAATCCATGACTTCACTGAGGCAATGTTAAGGACCTCCACAGATGGCTTGGGATGAGTTGACAGTGACAGCTGGATATCATCTACATAGTATTGAGACCCAAGCCCCATATTTGCTTTAGTAGCTTCATGTAGTTGGGGAGAAATTCCACAAATCTGAAGGCTGGGCAGTAATTGCTTAGCACCAGCTTCTGGAAACACCCAGCCTGGTAAGAGTAGGATCTTACACAGATCCCCAATCCTATAATGGCCATATATTCCAGAAGGTGAGCATTCAGTGGCATCAAATGCTGACCAACAGTTATACACTGGTTGCTAATTGAATAGTTTATAAAAGCTTTAAATAAATACAAACAAGTAAAGCAGTTATGTTTTACTGGACCAACTGTTGTAAATAAGTTTCAGTTCTCTTCATACATCTACATCAGAAGTTTCCACCTTTATTTGAGAAAAACTAACAGTCATATACTTGTCATATCCAGTTCCTGGCCAAGGTCATTCACAAGGGCAACCAAAGCTATTTCAATCCCTAAACCTGGCCTGAGTCCAGACAGGAAAGAATTCAGTCAGCTTCATTCAAAAAGACCTGGACTTGAGACACCACCACTCATTTTGTGCAGAAAAGGGATGTTGGAGACAGACCCGTAGTTATCAAGTGGTTGGATCCAATGACTGGGGTGTTGTTCAATCGCAAAGTCGTGCCTGACTCTTCACGACCCCATGGACAACATTCCTCCAGGTTCGCCAGCCCTCCACCATAGCCCGGAGTATGCCCAACCCTATACCCATCTCTCCAATAACCCCAACCAGCCACCTCAACCTCTGCCATCCCCTTCTCCTTTTGCCTTCAGTTGTTCCCAGCATCAGGGGGTTGTGGCGTACATGTTTGCAAAAATGGCTATACTGTAGCTTCCTGTAAAAGATTTGGGACATAACCCATATAAGCTTCCATATAGCCTGATCCTGCTTAATATTGGAAACTAAACAGGGTTGGGCCTGGTTGAAATCTGGATGGGTGACTTAATGTTGTGACTTAATGTTGTGAGCTTCAGCTATGGGCAGTACAGAAATGTAATGAATATTAACAGCCACCACCCACCCCAAAGAAAGCATTTTCTATCTCTACCACTCAGCAGCCTCCCATCCTTACCAGCAGTTGACTTACTTTTGAAGTTGTTGATTATGTGCTGGATGCAGAGCTCTGAGAGCTGTGGAACTATGGCAAGACTCCATTCAGGATCCTCAGCAATAATCCGCCGCATTCGACGGGGGTTAGCTGCAGGGTTCAGGGTACTTGCATGGCTCGGGGGAGGAACAGTACTGGGGTCTCCAGCAACTGGCTCTTGCATCTTGTAACGTTAGGGTGATGTCTCTCTTCTTAATTAGAATAGATAATCAGGCTGGATAATCACTTCGCAGCTACTCTTCCTAAAAGAAGAGCTTATGGAAAAGATGGAGGTCTTTGTCTCTTTATGGTACTAGCCTATTGGTTGTAAAGCAGGGACAGTTTTAATCTAGGCCATGGAGATTTCTAGTTTGGTCTACAGAGGCTTTGGCTTCCTCCACCAGCTATGCCTAAAAATACTGTGCTCCCCAAGACCAGGACCAAAGAGTACATGTTACAGCTAAAAAAAAGTTCAAACATTCTTTCAGGACATTTCCCCTTTTCAAAACTGCAGTGATTCTTTTGACAGTTCAAATCCTTTCCCATTTTAAAAGACATATACAGTGGTACCTCGGCTCATGAACACCTTAGTTCATAAACAAATTGGGTCACAAACAAACATTTCTGAAAAATTTTGACTTGGGTCATGAACACCGCTTTGGGTGCCGACCAAGATCGCAGCCATATCCCCCCGCCCCCCCGAGTGGGAAGATGGCCATGATCGCACTTGTTTTCATGCAGGGAAGGCATGTGTGATCAGAGGCGCGCTGCTGCAGGAAAGACGGGAGCAGCAAAGCAGAGCCATAGGGGAGATGGCCGAGATCCCAACCACCACGATCACAGCCATCTCCGCACCCCACCCCTGAGTGGGGAGATGGCCACAATTGTGCTGGGGGTGGGGGGAGATGGCCGAGATCGCGCCCATCTCTCCCTCCCCCAGTGCACCCGCAATCACACCCATCTCTCCCCCCCACCCCCCCATCACGCCGGGATGATGGGTGCATGCCAGGATGACGGGTGCCTGTAGGGATGATGGGTGCCTGCAGGGATGACAGGCGTGATCTTGGTCGTGCTGGGGGGGGGGGGGGATAACCACACTTGTGTTCGGGGGCGGGGCGAGATGGCCGCGATCTTTGTTGTCACTTTGCTTCACATTTTTCTGATTTAAAAAATGGTTACAGAACGGATTAACCTTATTTACACTGAACCTTATGGGGAAATTTAACTTGGCTCATGACCAATTTGGATCATGACCAGAGTCCTGGAACAGATTAAGTTCATGAGCCAAGGTACCACTGTGTCTGTATTGCTGGCCATTCCACACAATCAAAAGCTTTAAAAATATCTTGAGATATTATGTCAGGTTTGAATTCCCCTTTATGTATAATCTCTAATATATTCAAAACTCTTCTGGTCAAAATTGCCATCTGTCTCCTTATTAAAAATTTATTCAATTTGCCAGTATTTCTGTAAAAAAATTGCATCTTGATTTATCAGCAATATAACTCTGTAAGAACCTGGGTCAATTCAATCTTTATTAGGCTTAAGGAATCAAAAGTATTGTGGAATATTTCCAAGATGGTGGCATATTTCCTCCAGCTAATATTTTATTAAACAAAGTTTTCAATTTGGCATAAAAACATTTTTAAAGCTTTATACTGTTCTTTATCTATCCAAGGAGATTTCCATATTTTCAATTTATTAATACTTTCTTCCATTTCTTCCTTTGTTTGTTCAGTTAGGTCTATAGCCATCTGTTGTAATTTTCCTCCAATATTTTTCCTCTATATACGATCTAGCTTTGTCTAATGATAATTCTCCACATGCATATAACTTATAAAATATTCCTAATTTATTACTTGTTACACTGTTCCCCATTTTCATTCCTAACTATTCCAATTGAATTTTTAAATTTTTGTTGTGCAGAATTGGCCAACAACCTTGAATTATTATTGCTAAATTCAAAATATTCCCTCTTCAAATATATTAAATTTCTCTGTATTTTTTCAACAGCTGCATTTTCCAATTCCTTTCTTTTAGCTTGTATTTCTTTGTAATCAAAGGAAAAAGAATATATACATACACATGCATATAGGAAGATAACATAGACAAAATCTCCATCAATCTCTCCTTTCCCTTAACTTATCCCCACCCTTACAGTCCCTATCTCAGGACCATTAGTTCCCAGGGATCGTGCAAACAACTTGTTCCCAAAACTGCTGCATGCATAGTGGCTTCCAAAATGCACAGTGCAAACTGTTTTGAAGCAGGTGATAGCCATACTGCAGAGTGTAACTAATTAAAAACATCAGGCTAGATTTCTAAAATGACTTTTTAAAAAACCAAGCATTTGTCTCAAAAAATGTCTGTATAAAGTGAATGCAAAATTCTCCTAATCCAGCATTCTGTTTCTAATAGTGTTTCTCCAGCACAGAACTAGAAAGCAGTACCCTGGCTCATACACCCTCTGAAAAGAGAGGGTACCTTTCCCTAGTGCCGCTAATAGTTGTCAATAAAAATGGTACATATGCTTTGATGTGACAGTTCTAAGCATTGCCATTTTCACTCATAAGCCATTAATAGTTAATAATAAAGTCATTTTTACATGAGTACAGTCAAAGTATATTAGGGTTTACTCCTATAATGTGGTACAATTGCATGATAGCTCCAGACCTCTCCTCATATTGCACAGGATGGTTTGTTATGGTGTGAGATCTGAGAGTGGAAATCTGTCTCAAGGGATGTACTGATAACCTCCTACAAAGAAGCCTACAGCCACGCTGGAGCCTGTGCCACAAACTTGCATACTTCTGTGAAATATTACTTTGACTTACACAGTACTTTCCTGTTACAAAGAGAGAAGCAGGTGCTGCTGGGGAGATCAAGCTCATTATTTCCTTCCCCTTCATGAGGATGCTTAATTTTGCTTTGCAAGGATATATAGACAGCAGCCCTTGGTGTGCTAAAGCCCTGGCATCTTTGAAACCTCTATAGTGAACAGCAGGCTTTTAACAATCTCTCCAACCCACAAACTGTCTGAAGTAGTGCTGATAAACAGTCAACTAAATTGCAAGAGTGGAAATCTGCAAATGCTAAGAAGAATTGAAGGAGCAAAAAGTAAATAATTCCCACTGCACTGCAGATGATGTGCCTGCAAAAGCGTCCTTGACTATATTCACAACAAACAGCACTTCCTATAGGAAAGTAACAGGCTAATATGATGGCAGAAAACTGAGGAGAGGCCAGAACAAATGGATAATTTGGTCTTTGCAGAAATGGTGAGGTAAAGCTGCTTTAGGGCCAAAGGACACAAAATCAATCAGACTAGTGTGGTTATGAAATTAACTATTGAGAAGCCACAGTTCCTAACTCCAAAATCCGTACAGAAAAACCTCTAAGCAGCAGAGCACAGCACCCCTCCCAGCTGCAGCTTCTCTATAACCCATGAATTTCCTTCCATTATCAAGCTAGTCCACTGCTGCTCCTCAGCCAGAGGGGCTTTCAGGGATCTGACTGTTCTGCCTTGCATGACACTGCTGCCATCTTGTCAGCCTGATCTTCACGAATTTCAGAATATGGATGGAAGAAAAGCGGTGGTGAATGCAATAACAATCCCTTGTTACATGACACACTAAACCCAAAGTTTTCTTTGGTTCCCAAATAGTTCAAATGGCTACTGTAAAAGAACCACAGTGCAGCTGCAGTTCTGAAAAGCAAGAACGCAGATATTATTTCTGTAAAAGTAAACAGTGCAATTGCATAAATGAATAATAATGGCTCAGGTTCTAATGTTTTTCCATTTTGAGCAGTTGGTTATTTCATAGTACAAACTTGCCTATTCAGCAGTTCATTTCCCTGCAAATAAACATTTAATGATTAAATATTCCATAATGCAGGAATCCAGCCTTATATTTCAGGCAAACCTCTACTGACTTTTTAAAAATTGTGATAATAATTAAGGAATTGTGACTAAACTGTAGGTTTTATTAATGAAGAGCAAGTTTCACAGAGGCTATGGCTGAAATCCAAAGAGCAATTCTAAGCAGGAAAAGCATTTCCTAGGATGTCTCATTTTTATTTCTGATTACAGCATCTCTGAGGAGCACTTCTGAAGTTTACCTGAGTTTAGAAGTTTACATGCAAGAATGGTGGGCAGCTTTCAGAAACACAGGCTCTGGAACAGGTACTGGCATACTGGCAGTTCATACACCAAGTCCTTGCTGATTACATGCCATAGCCTTAAACCCTATGGATTCTGCAATTTTGCGATCACAGCAAGGAAACTGATTTCATTTATTTATTTAAACATTTTTATCCTGTCTTTCACTAAACGTCTCAAGATGGCTTACAAAACTTCCATATATATATGGACTGCTATTGCAAAGTGTGATACTTTGCAAAATTTCTTGGAGAACAGAAGAATGAGGGGCGTTATAATATCACTTTTCAAATACTTGAAATGCTGTCACAAAAAGGAGGGCCAAGGTCTCATCTCCGTCATGCCAGACAGCAGGATGTGGAATAACAGGCTCAAGTTAGAGGAAGCTCTATGATTTTCAGAATAGTAAATTAACACTGGCTTCAGCTTAAAATCACCAGCTGCATTAGCCCCTAACAAGAGAGTCAGCCTTTCCTTTGAAACCTCTCTAGCTATCAAAGTCCTAGACAGGATTTTCTTTCAATATAAGGCTGTTTTGTCTACATTGAAAATCTGTTGTTTAGTGTAGCCACATTCAACAATTTGCTAGATCTTCTGCATAACTTTCTGCAGTTTCTACATCAGCACTTGCTGCTTCACCTTGCACTTTTATGTTCTGGAGATGGCTTCTTTCCTTAAACCTCATGCATCAACCTCTGGTAGCTTCAAACTTTTCTTCTGCAGTTTCCTCACCTCTCTCAGTCTTTATGGAATTGAAGAGAGTTAGGGTCTTGCTCTAGATTAGGCTTTGGCTTATGGGAATGTTGTGGCTGGTTTGATGTTCTTTCCAGACCACTAAAACTTTTTCCATATCAGCAATAAGGTTGTTTTGCTTTCTTATCATTTGTGTGTTCAGTGGAGTAGCACTTTCAATTTCTCAAGAACTTTTCTTTTGCGTTCACAACTTAGCTAACTGTTCGGTGCAAGAGGTCTAGCTTTCAGCCTGTCTTGGCTTTCAACACGCCTACCCCACTAAGCTTAATCAT